AGAGAGAGAGAGAGAGAGAGAGAGAGAGAGAGAGAGAGAGAGAGAGAGAGTTTTCAATAGATTCTCTATACAGACCGTTGGAGCAGACGACTGTAGAATGACAGTCAATCAGTGTTCGGGTTGCAGGATGAGGCGTAGCTGTTACTTATGGTAGCTGTTGCCTATGGTAGGTGACCACTCCTGCAGACCGGACAGCACCAATTCGGGTGCGGACTGTGGAAGCATCGCATCCAATTCTCGCAGTTCCAGTTGCTGCACCAAATGGCACAACGTATACATATATCGGAGGTAACATGGCTCCCACAGGCAAGGAACACAGAGGCACGCTGACCGCAATTGTAGAGGCATTGTCGTTCGAGCCCGTCCAAAAATTGGACATGACATGTCAGGGTGCCGGATGTGAGTGCAATATTGACTGTCACCAAACGTATGAAAACCGAAAGATGCACGGGCTGTGCCTTCATAATCCTCATGAGACAATGCATGCAGCCCAAATACTAGCAGAATCTCAGGTGGATCATCACAGAACGGCATTGAACAAGTGTTTTGGGTTTCCTCTGCATTGATTCCTTCTCTATGGACCGACGACGACGACTGTGGCAAGAGGGGTTCATCCAAAACAAGGGTGTCTAGCTGCTGCAGAATTTGTTCTGCAACAGTTCGTCCTGGCGGTGTTAGCCCTTCAGCACAGTGCTCTATAAGCGGCTTATGTGGTTCTCTATTTTCCTGCTCAGGCTGTCGAGTTTGCTGTTCGTCGGGCAAGTGAGAATGAGATCATGGCGTTTTCAGTAATTGTATGCCCAACTCTGCATGTGGGGCATGCTATGAGAGGACGTGGTGGATGATGGCATCACGGATGGTCCACGCAGTAGAGGCACATGGTTTCTATGACAGCTTCCTGGAAACATTGATGACACATGGCATGTTGTTGACATGTCAGCAGGAAGGCAGGTTGACGTTTGCAGCTATTTGAGCATGGCAGATTAAGGCCACGACGGCATATTGGACAAGCGATTAGGGGGTGGGGGGGATGAGCACAAGACAAAGAGTTGCAGTTTTTGCAACAGAGGCTGGCAGTGACCTCATCCCTTCATTGTGTTCGGAGCAGAGACTATGCATTGTGCATGCTAACCGGACTGTGGCTGTGTGGCCACAGAATGGAGGGTCACAACCAACATCTTCTAAGGAGGTTCTTTCATTGTCTGGAGCAGAATCTGCCCGATCTAGACAGGGAGGAGACAGTGTTCGTCATGTCTAGGGGAAGGAGGTAATTGCGCATCCAGATTGCTCTCCAGAGACTAAAGCGCCTGCGGGTGCGAAGTAACAGATTGTTCCTGAAGGACAATCCAAATTGAGTGAGTATTTGTTACTTGGTTATAGGAGGAGTTAATGCTACTTACTGTGTGCACCCTACATGGACAAACGAAGCCGTTGTCTTGGAGATGGTGGTGGAGATGGGGAGCCCCTCCGTCAACGAGGTCTCTGCAATGACCGATTTAACGGTAGATGCCTTGGACGAAAGGGTCACAGCGGTGTCTGATCTGACCAGGAATGTGTTGTTAACAAAGATGATGAATCAGGCAAGGTAGAGGAGGGCGAGATAACGAAGAGGGTAGAGAAGAGGAGGAAGAGAAGGAAGAGGAGGAAGAAGAAGCAGAAGAAGGGGACGAAAACGCAGCAGTAGAGGAGGGGTTAGATGACTGGGGGGATGATGTAGAAGAAGATGTCGGCGGGGATGATGATGGTGGCGGGGATGCCGGTGGCAATGGTGGTGGGGATGCCGGTGGTGGTGGCGGTGGTGGTGGGGGAGGAGGTGGTAGTGGTGATGGCGGTGGAGGAGGAGGAGGTGGTGATGGTGGTGGTGGTGCGACAGTGATGAGGGAGGCACCATTTCGGCAGCAATAGCCGCATTGGTAGGATGCTGGTCTTCATCGCCTACAACAACCTCAGCAGCGTATACATTACTTGTAGCTGTTGGACCATTCTCTGGCTGGGCTGGCGTATCCACATTGGCGTTTGCCAGTTCAGCAGGAATAACAGGAGGGGGTAGACCCGCTGTGTCGTGCTGTGTGGAGGGCTGATGTCGCCTGCAGCCATAATTGGTGTTTGGGAGTGGGTGACAGTCTGCTGCATGTGGTCAAGAGGAGGCTCTGTATGCCGAGTGTGCACTCGGCAGTGGGTGAGCAATGGCCCAGCGCACCATACGACAAAACCAATTCGAGAGCCGTGTGACATGAGTGCGTAACCAGCGCTGCTGGCCACGCACGTATGTCGTCCAGCCTTTGGACAGGACACTAGGAGGATGGCCCCTTAAAAGCATACGTCGCATCAAGGAAGTCACTGCCACTTTGAAGTCAGTAGTATTATTACAAATATGTTCGAACCTCGTTAGTTGTCCTGTAAGTACACCTGCAGGCTGATGAGCGGGGGCACTGGAGGATGCACTGGGATAACGTATGACAGGGAATGTCCAAGACTCGGTCTTTTCAAATACACCTATGCGAAGTGAGCCATCTGACCACACTTCGATTCTTGCCCCAAGGAAAAGACATGAGCCATCTTGATCAGTAGTGTCTTTCCACTCAAGCCCGTACCGAGTAAGAGGGGGTGGGGATGTCTGCTCTGTGTGTGTGTGTGTGTGTGTGTGTGTGTGTGTGTGT